GTGTGTGTGTGTGTGTGTAGTGTGTGTGTGTGTGTGTGTGTGTGTGTGTGTGTGTGTGTGTGTGTGTGTGTGTGTGTGTGTGTGTGTGTGTGTGTGTGTGAAGGAAGGGAGGAAGCAAGCAAGCAAGCAAGCACAAACACAAAGAAAGAAAGGAAGGAAGGAAGGAAGGAAGGAAGGGTAAGACGGCATTGGTTTACATGTGTTTCCACATACCGCCTGGTCACCAAAGTAGTCGCGCCGGAACAGGCCACCCCACCACGTCTGGAAGCCCGCATCAACGTTGATGCAGTGGTACTCCAGCGGATAGCGGAAGGAGTGTACCACCTTGCCCGTGCTGGGGTTAAATCTGCAGCAGACCACGCCACACCCGAGGACACGAGCGTCAGCACAAAGCTCACTGACGTTGCGCACATGCAGCCTTGAAGAAACGTCCGCGACTAACACAGCGCTCTCGCTTGACTTGATGACGAATGTACACACTTGTGTACGCGTGGGCATTTGTGTATGCATCCGCTTGTGCGTGCGTGTATGCATGCATACCTGACGTGTGTGGTTGACCCTTTGAGCAGGAAGTGGGTTGGATGAAAGGCGTCTCCAGAGATGGGCAGCAGGGGAATGCTCGTGTCCTGTCAGAGAAACCACACCCATCACGTACATGACGATGGTGACGATGATGATGATGATGGTGATTGTTATTCTTTCCTTCGCACACGCACACGAGCATGCAGTGTGCATCGTCAACAACGGCAGTCGGACACGTCCGGAAGCACGCACACACGCACACGCACACACACGTACACACGTACACACGTACATACATACATACATACACACGCCAACTACCTTGAGGAGCGTGCGAGCGACTTCGATGCCGCTGCGAAAGCCATCTTCGTGGAAGCCGTAGTGCAGGTACGCACCAGCGTACCACACGCCGCCCTTGCCCTGATGGTGCTCGTGCACACGGCGCTGGCAGCGAAGAGCGTCAACCGTCATCATCGGATGCTGCGTGCGCCACTCCATCAACACATCCCGCCGTCGCTGCTTGTGCTCAAGCATGTACGCCGGTGGGTTGAGGGAAATGAACACGTTGTCCGACTTGATGTGCTGAAGCGGCTTCACCCAATATGTCAGCAGCGGGCGGTCGCCTGTCTCTTCCCGCTCAATCACGTTCCACGAACTCCACAGCGCGCGATCCCTGTGGTGTGTGTTGGGTGTGTGTGTGGGTGGGGGGGCTGTGGTATGAGACAAGCTTTGTCGGTGTGCATGGGCGAGCAAGAGACGTTCCATGAACAGCCAGCACACACGCACACGAGACATACACAACACATGCACACGCACACGGGCTTGACGGCACCTTGGCATGAGGTCTGGGTTTGTGTGCAAGAGGACTGTGTTTGAGCTGCACTTGAAGCCGGAGAGCGCATCAACATCGTCCTGTGTCGGTGCCTCCAGTAGCTCCAGCGCCAGGCCCGAGGGGGTGGCGAGCACAACATCATCAAACACGCGCTCCCCTTGCGTTTCCGACGTGACCGCCACGGTGCCGTCTTCCTGGCGCCGCACAGCGTGCACGGGGTTGGCGGTGTGTACCTCCACGCCAAGATGCTCAAAGAGATGGCGAAACAGCTTCAGTGTGAGCGTTGTTCGTCCGCGCGGCGTGTACCACTGCGGCGTCGACCACGTGAGGAACCCGTGGTTGCGCAGAAAGGCGAGGATGGAGTACGCGTCCATGGCCATGGCCTCGGACTTTGGTGCAGACCACACCGCCTCGCAGAACGGCTTGAGCCAGCCCTCCATGAACGCAGCGCCGTAGCCGTGCTTGGTGCAGAACTCCAGCAGCGAGAGCGCTGGCGCCGTCGCTGCGTCTGCATCCCGGTAGCGCTCGAGGAAGGCGAGCGCATCCGAGTGGAAGCGCGTCTTGTCCTTGACGAAGGACGGCAACTTGGGGTGCCTGAGTAGCTGCAACTGCTGTGGTAGGGACGACGACAGGCACCATGAGATGGTGGGGTTGTCGATGGAGAAGCCCATGTCCGTGGCCTGCAGTGGCACATGGTGCTGTTCGTAGAACCTCAGCAAGTTGGGGTACTGGCACATACAAGCAGGCCATCAGACACGTGAGGGACCGCAATCAGGAGAGTTGGGGAAGGGGGAAGATGGCAGACAACGGGTCAGCCAAGGGAGCTGGCAGACACACACGGGAAACGGAAAACACACTATCGCCGTGTGACACAGGCAGTGGTATAGACAAGCCAGCGGCGACAGATGTTCTCAGAGAGAGA